GGCTTTGGGGTTGGAAGTGGTTTCTGTCTTGGACTGAGCCATTATTTTTGGCAATAAATATTCGCATAGAGAATCTATTTTTCATCACCGGGGACAATTCTGTCCAAAAATGGTTCACGCACATTACACGTCAGAAGAGACGAAGCAACGTTCACATCTTGAAAACAATAATCATTGGAGAGTTTGTGAGGCACCCAAACACCTTCTTTATGGAGTTTTCCCATATTCTTTAGATGTTTACATATTTTTTCCTGAGAGACATGCAATTTCAGGGCCATTTCACAAGTGTGTTGCCTTGGGTTACACTCAACAAGAGTCTTCAGAGCATCAATATCAATTCCAACATGTCGGCCCCTGCCATCATAGTTTTTAAGGCTAAAGTCACATGAACGAAATTTGCTGAACGTTGACATTTACGAATGTTCAAACATTTCCATAAACTTTATTGATATTCTTTGTGGTTACAGGACCATTGTTTCCCTTCTTGTATTCAAAGAGCATTACATGCCGAATGTGTGTCTCGTTGTGTGCCATCACTGTAAGGGATTAGAATATACTAAACTTTACACATTATATAGGCTACACATGACGTTTAGATGGTTCATTTAACTATTATACATGATGTACATCTTTTGGGGGGGGGGGTTAATGAAACTGTTCCAAAACGCGACATGAATTTCTTGAAGACCTAATGTATATCATACATTGTGTCAGTTGTCAAAACTTATGATATTATGTGGTGCACGAAAAATTTTGCCGAAGCATTTCTGCATCTATAATATGCCCCAAGGGCACTACTGACTTGTGTTGAGAGGAATAATAAATGGTAAAGGACAAGAAAGGAAGATAAAAAATTAACTATGTGTGAAAAGAAAAACACCCAAAATTATGAATATAACCAAAACAGGGCTCATACTTAACTTTGTTATAGAAAGCTAGCCGGGCCCCCAAAACATGCATTTTTATAGTCCAATCCTATAGCTCACTGTAAAATGTACTCTATATCAGAAGTTATAAGAAAAATCTCTGAATTAAATAGTGGATGTTACATAAATTGAAAGGAAATTAAAGATATCAACATATCTCAATCTTGTTGTGAACCTGTATTTAAAAAAACAAAACACAACAACAACACAAGTTAAACAATTTCTTTTTTTTTTCCGGCCACTTAATTTCTCTTTAAAGCATGGTATAACAATAACTTCCATATTAAATTCTCAGGATGGTAAACCATGTGGCTCCCCGTTAGTACCACACTGTGTATTAGCTCATTGTTTGGGGAGGTCGCCAAAAGAGCACATGACGAGAGAGCGATTGGAAATTTGGAATTTCACATTTGTTTTCAATAGGAGGGTTTGGTCAATTGTTTGAAATGTGCATGTCACTGTTGGAGATGTCACTATAAGTTGAAAGTGGTAAACAGGTACATAAAAATCTTTACAAAATAAACAACCTATTATAAAGCTATGTAGCATGCCATTTCATTATTTGACAGTCCCATTATCTATGAATCTAATCAAAAACACCTTAGGTGTGAAAAAAGTTGCAGCCAAAAAAGGATTGACTGTACAACTTAAAGGAATGAAATCAAAATTGGTGGTCAAACTGGTAGCTACACTTATAGCATTGATAAGAATTTTATAGCAAATATTCATCCATTAGCTAACCAGGCCACATATTGTGTTCAAAAATATGAACTAGAAACTGCTATTTTGGTTTATTTGGCCTAACCAATACTTATGTATCTGCATATGCTTTCACCCTATAGTTTAGCTGCTCTAAATCAGCTGTCTTCAATCCAAAAGGCAAAAAATTAAAACATCTGTCTTTTCTTTTTAGGTGATGCTGTTGTAAAAATTTAGACTGATAGCTTACACGACTTTTTGCATAGGCATGCACAAAATTTTTTGTCAAAAGTGAGCTGTTTTTGTTGAATAACTTTGCATATGTGGCTTATATTTAGATGAAATTTGATAACTGATTAAGTTGTAAAGATCTATTTGTATAACAAATTTGAAAAAATCCATAAAAGTTAATTATGTTTTCCTATCAAATAAAATTTCTGTATATTCGGTGTGAAAAAAAATTGAAATTGGATTGCCTTGAAATTTGGTATGTGAAGTAAGGGTCCAGTAGAGAATCCACTGAATATATGTTATAGTTTGAATTACCACAGTCCGAGCTACAGAAATTGGAAAATCCTTAACTATTACTCCTGTTAATAACACACAGTATGTCTTGCAGGTTATTTTGGCCACACAATACTGTATCTCTTGATATGCATAGTTCCAAGAAGTTATCTTAAAATTAGTTGTGGCTCGACAAACATGATTGCTGATTGGTTAGTTTACTTTCGATTGAGAAAAACTAGTTATTTTGGGTTTTTCAAGTATGAATTAAATGATGAAAAATAAGAATCATGAAGGTGGGCAACTGTCGTAACAAACTGCCCATTGCACCCGTAGCTGACAGGGGAGTGTATACATCTTTATCAACAGTAAAAGCTAATATTTCATGATTTTAAAAAGTGACACATTGTAAGGGGTAAGATTTGAAACACATTCGATGAAAGCATATCTTGAGCCAGGAGGCAATAAATTTTAAATAATTCAACCAGCATGATGTGGGTCTTCTTTATCATAATGCATGCTTCTACTAATTTGAAGCCCTGCAAAAGAAGATCTTTAAATATATTCTACAAAAAATTACAAAGGTATGTACTTTTTTCTTCTATTTCCTGATTTTAATCACTTCATTGCATTGTACTTTGATGATAATAGCTAGAGTTAGTGATATGGTAGAGAAAATGAAAATATAAACATTTAGGAGGTTCTGCAAATATAATATAAAAACTATATGATGAAGGAAATTTGTTTATACTTAAAATAAAGATCACCTTGCACTCAATTTGGGAATTTGTGTGTGGAGAGAACATCAAAGATGTGCTCTTCAGAAAAAACCATATCAACAATGAGCAATGAGCAGATGGGCTTAACAATTTAAGTGATCCCCTGCTCAACATAGAATATGGAAGAAGGAAGTATTCTCTGTGAGGCAACACTGGTCACTTGGCAGGTTCCATTGTCTTCATAACACAGATAGAAAGAACAGGTGGTTGTGAGATCCGTTAAAAATAAAAATAAACAATTCACTTACAGAGAGCCTCAGTGATGGTGGAGATTGATGACTAGAGGAGGATGAAACCCAAGGTAAATTAAACCACAATGTCATGTGAGACAAATCTGTCAGAGGTCATCCACATCCCTGCATACAAGATCTGATATAATGGATGATAATCGTTAGATGCGAGAGAAACCAACAAATTACAAACTTGATGGGAGAAGATATGAAAAATAAGAAAAGTGTCATCATCCATATAAGAATAAACCAGTCAGAAAAGGTGTATAGCCCAATAGGTCAAAGTGGAAGGAGATAAGTTACTTGAGGATGTGGAATTCGATGGCAAAAAAAGATATTGTCAATTGCTCTGAAAAGGCATGAGTGAGATAAAAATAAATAGTTCATACAGGACAATGGAAATGACCTGGGTCAAACTAACTGTACAAGGAAGAAATGGAATGGAGAATAAAAGAACAAAACATCAGGGTGCCCTACTAAGCAGCCCAAGTTTATTAACCAGTCTCTGAGGTAAATAATGCACAAGGTTTAGTGGATAAAAAAAATCAGAAATAGAAGAAAGTAAGTCTGAGGCATATAAAAAACAAACTGAACCACTATAGACACAGAGCTTCCACTGTAAATTCTGATACTGGAAACCAAAAAAGTAGAAGCTAGGTGTTGAATGGAAGTCAAGAAGGCAGCCATGATAAGACTCCAATAGTGAGAGGAAATCCACTGAAAACACCAGAAGATGGAAAGATCTGGGGTAGTAATAAAGAATCAGATGACAGTGTTAGAACAGATTAATGTTACAGGTTTATCAGCTTTAATTAACTATAATTATAATAATAAATATTCTAATATTAATAAAGAGGAGTTGAATGCTATTCCAAAATTAAGTAAAAATGTAAATGTTGTGTTAATGAAACCTAATAAACGAAATAGTGTTGTCATCTTAGATAAATCTGATTACATTCAATAAATATGCGTTTTGAAAGATAGCAGTAAATTTAAAAAATAACTTTGAAGAGATCCTACCAAAACCACAGATTAAGTCACAGTTTATTACTAAGCTCATTTATCATTCTTGCTTGGAGAAACTGTGAATCTTTTAAGTAAAAATGAATCTTACACCAACATTAATCATTAACTAATAACCAAAATATCATTTCAGAGACACTTTTTATACCTCTGCCCCAAAACACTTGAGAGTGGGAGGGGGGAAATAATGATGGCATTCTTTGATAGATTGTTTAGGCAGAGCATTCACGATGAAACTTTGTAGAATGGATGGCAAATACCTGTTGTAGAGACACAAGTGTAGAGGATGACGTTTCAAAACACGGAAGACTTTTGAAACATCGTCCTCTACTATTGTGTCTCTACAACAGGCATTTACCATCCATCTGTCTGTAGACATTACTTTTCATAGGGTAACTAGTTCGAAGCACCATATTTTAATCAAACTAAAATGTTATTTCCCTTCAGGAATGGGGAAGAACCTATTGATCTCGGGGATAAAATGTCAAGTTCACCATTAAAAAATTGTTTTTATTTGGTTTCTGTGCCTACAAAAAAACATAACTATAAAATACACCCACAAACACTCATACTGTATTCATCAATAAATTAAAACAAAAAAAAACTAATGGTAAAGAGAATCAGCCATTCTACTGATGGCTATTTTTCAACTTACCTAAGTGAAACTGTTGAACTGGGTTCTTGATCAGGTTTTTCATCAAATACATCTTTTTTCTGTTTTGGATCAACTATTTGAATGTTTTCTGAATGTTTATTAAATTCTTTTTCAGATTCTTTGGAATCTACTTGTTTGAAGATCTCTGATATTCTAATGTCCAAATCAGTTTTGGTAGATGATGAAGTTTCTTTCTCTTCAACAGCAATTGTATGAGCAACTCGTACTTTCTTGATTGATGGCTCTTTTGGAGGAGGTGCAACTTTACCTGTACATATTTTACAGTTCAGGTCAAACAAATGAGACCGGTGTTGATCAGTGGTGTCAACTGGTGTTCCTGGAGACGTGGGGTCTCCTGAGGTTCTTAAGCTAGAAACTACTAGTGGATTTCCAAGGGTTGTTGAGACTGACTCTCTCTCTAAAGCTTTTTCATGAAACTACAAGGATAAAAGAACAAACTGTCTGACACAAGTTTCCATACAGTAAATTTGAAATCTAATTAAAAACACTTTAAGTGTGAAAAAAGGTGCAGCCAAAAAAGGATTGAGTGTTTGACTTAAAGGAATGAAGTCAAAATTGGCAGCCAAACTGGTAGTTTAGCTTATAGTACTGATAAGAATTTTAAAGCAAATATCCATTCATTAGTTAGACATGCTGCATTTTTTGTTCAATGTGGAGCATGATGGCGGGTAAAACAAAATACATCAAAAAAATTGAGCAGTTTTTGTTGAATAACTTTGCACATGTTGCTTATATTTATACAAAATGTGACTCCTAATTGAAGGTTGAAAAGATGTATCAGTGTATCAAATTTGAAAACAATCCATAAAAGTTGAACATGTTTTTCTGTCAAATAAAATTTCTGTACTTTTGGTGCAGAGAGAGAGAAAAAAAACCTCAATCAAAATCGGATATGTTATATCTTAAATATTTCTTAATGGATTGGCTTGAAATTTGGTATGTGAAGTAAGAGTTTGTGCACATCCACTAAAAATATGTGGTACTTTGGATTACCACAGTTCAAGACACAGAAGGTGGAAAGTCATTAAACTATCACTTTTATTAATAACATACTGTGTCCAGCAGCAGGTTGTTTTAGCCACACGACACACTACTGTGTGTCTTGATAAAAATGTTTTTTTTTAATTGCAGCACTGCTAATGAAGAACCATGAATAATAAAAAAAGTTGTAATTTACTACAGAATTTGAACACAACTCAAATTGTATTTTCAATATGAAACAAAGAAACTCTAACAAATTGTTTGGCTTATAAAGCGAGTTTTTGTTTAGTTTTTAAGACAAAAGCTTTCAGCCAAAGTAATTGACATATTTGTAACACTGAAGAGTATATTAAACCTATAAGCTGGATTAAAACAATGAGAAATAACATTTGCAAAGAAACCTTATCCCAGACATTGGAATGTGAATCCCAAAATTACAAATTTCATCAAAAGGAAAAACCAAATTGAAGACAATTCAAATCATAGTATACATGAAGTTTTAGTATCTGAAAGTATTTGTGGTGTTGAATCATATCAGTAGACCAAAGAAAAATAGATTACAGCAGTGCATGTGGGCTATCAGTATTCAATCCAAAGACAGTATATTCTCAAGATATAGTGGTGTTAGCATGTTAGTGAAATAGTACTGAAAGTATACAATGTTCATTTTGTAATTCAAATTGATCCATTATGATGCTGTTGTTAACTAAATGTCTTACACCTGTAGTAGGCTCAGATTAATGAACTGAAAGCTTGTATACTAAAAAAACGAATATAATATGTCAATAGTCCAAACAACTTAATAAAAACTCTAGTACAACTTTTATACAGCATTTTACACTTTTTTTGCTATAATTGTATAATGGGGTATTCCTAATCTATGGAGTTTTATGTGATGGACTATTGTTCTGCCGTGAATATTCTACTGCATTTACAATCCACTGAGATCATGTTGTTCTCTTCTTTTCATGCTTTCCAAGTCCATCAGCTGTATATGGATGGTAATTTCTGGAAAAATCAAAGGCAAAGATTGTCCATAGGAAATGTCTGCAAATGTTTTAGTAAGAATTCTCATTTCTACTTGCATCTTATGACCTGAACGCTTTGTCTTGAAGGTATTCAATCCAAAGATGGTATTTTCTCAAGGTATAGTGATGTTAACCTAACAGTAATGGTAGTATGCAATATTCATTTTGTAATTTTTTTCAACTCTGCAACTATAAAAAATCTCTTGGAAAAACTTGTGCAATACTCTATTTTTGAAATGTTGTATCTCTGGAAGGTTAGTAATAAATTGTTTGGATGTTTTTAGACCCCTAGGTTGAAATATTTCATCCAATGCAATAAATTACTTCAATATGTCACATCCATATATTGGTGGCTCATGTTACTCTTATAAATGTAAATACATGTGAATTATCTTGTTTACAGTTACAAAGGAGGCTCATATATTAACTGGAATGACTATTGTGCTCTTGGGTTACTTCTACTGATAAGATATTTATCTTCCTTCATTACCTCTGGTGTATTACTGACAGCCTTTTTTCACCCTGCTGTAATTAATCTGCCTTTGCTTCAATGATATGATTCCACATCACAGATGCTCCTTTCTCTCAAACACTAAAAATTCAAACATACTTTTATAATCAACGAATAAGAGAAATCATGTTGGAAAGTCCTGTACTGTCATCCTACCAGAAGAAGTCAATTTCTTGCACCAACCACTTTAAAATAACAATACTTCAATTGAATTGCAACATCTTCTTTTTACCCCTTTTCCACTTATCATAGCAAACTTTATGCCACAACTTTTGTGCAGGGGCCATGCTAATCTTCTCTGTATTGTTCCAATTTTAGTACATATATACTACATGAGCATACAATTTTTAAATACATTTGGTGAAACATTTGAAACAGATTTGGAACGTTAGTACGTGTTTTTACATTTACTAAAATATCTTCCCAAAACAGATTTATTAATTCGTTTTATTCAATAAAATTGAATATATATATATATTTCAAGTAAAATTAGCACTTGTACATTTTAAAGCTTCCTCACTGTTATTTTTAGGCCATCACATTCTATTACTGCAAACTGATGATCTCTTACTTTTCTTCCATGAAATGATCCCATATTTTCCATATAGTGACTCACCCTTGTGTGTGTTTTTTTTAAATAAGTTCTGGAAGTTAAGTATACTTTGCAAAATGTAAAAGATTCCCATATGCGTCAGGATATATCCTAGTAACTCTGAAGTGATTTCCATGATTGTTTTTGAAGTTAAAAACAGACACTAATAACTGTCCCTTGACTTGAAAAACACACATTTTTTAACGTTATAGTTACATAAAATTCTACTGAGTTCATATATGATACAGAGTAAAAGTATGGGTTACCACCTGCTTCTTGCATGGTCATTATATTCATTTGGAAAAAGGGTATTTAACATCCAAAATGCCATGATATTATTCTTTCTCAATGTATACTTTTCTATCAGGTGATGCTCCTAAAAATGGGTAGTCTTTATGAATAAACATTCAAATATTTTGTGTATGTGCTGTAATTTTTTGATTTGCCATGAATTCTACATATCGATCTACAGCAATACGTACATGCTGCTTACCACGTTGTACAGCTTCAACATTAGATATTTCTCGCATGTTTTGAAGGATCTCTAAATAACTCGATAATTTCATAGAAATATGATGCACTTATCTTTCTTTTGTGGTGATTCATAAAGGTTGCCCACAAGTGAAAAGGTCCATTTCTTTGATATGCTCTTTAGTAGTTGGTGTGTAGTTTGTCTTAATGTAAGCTTTAGATGTTTCTCAAATTCCTCAATGAATATGGATATAGCTTCAAATTTATAAGAGTTTTCTTTAATATCATTGCCCAAGTAGTTAGAAATATCAACTGGGTTCTTTCATTTTTCTGTATTCATTACAAGGTTCTTTCATTTTTTCTTAGGAGTTTCTCTCAGGTAAAACTTTACATGACTTTTGAGATCCCACTTAGTGGATTGACTCAACTTGTTCAGCTTCATGTGTGTATCATTACAAGTGAACAAGTTACACTGCTTTAAAGTATCATACAACTTTTTTTTTTCATTTTTTGAAAAGCATCATTCACTAGTCTTGGGTCAAATCTACTATGGCATCCTGTCATTACAGTATTTTTGTTTGTTTCTTCTTATCTTTTCAAACTTTATACATTCAATTAATTCTACTGAAGAACTGTTAGTCTGATATTGAGAAGGCATCAACCACTGTTATTTAATATCTATGGGTTATCTCAAATTACTATTATGCCAGTATTTCATGACTGGATTAAATTTGCCATGCAATACAGCAAGCCAGCAATGTGAATGCATCTTTCTGAACCTAAAAATGAGATAGAAACAGTATATATATATATATATTATGTTTTTTACCTACCTTTACACTAGTAACAGCTTTAAAATAAATAAATTATAGTCGTTTAATTTTAGGGTTGTTTTTAAAAACGTTTGGGCCTAATTACCTAAACATAATGAGTTTTAATATATAAATATAACTTCAAAAGTGGAGCTGTGATTATGCTGGAAATTATTACAGCCCTTCTAGTATATTATGTTACAGTAACAAACATTTCAAATTATTTGTGAAAAAGCATTTATTACTTACCCTACTATAAAAGCATGATGCTTCGTAACTTCACCATTACTGTTTAAAATAATGTAAACATTGTATTGGCCTTTTCACATCAATGGAAAACACTTCCCTTTTATCTCAAACTTTCTGACGATGGTGCCACATGACACAACTTTTAACTTCTTCTTCTTTCAAATAATCCTGAACTTAAGCAAAATTTATCTATGGGAAACTAAAAACTTTCATCCGTACTGTGAGAGGTATATTATTAATAAAACTTTCTTCAAATTGATGAACATTAATTTTATCATAGAAGTTGAAACTCCTACTCCACCTCACACATTCATTTGGCAATCACAAGTGTTGCTTTAACCATATTCATACACAATGATGTATGCATCAAACAGGCAAATTGAAAAGAAGTGTCTCAAGACATTTTCCACAATACCTGAAATGTACTATATTTTCCTTAGAGAATACTTGCTAGCCATCTCAAATTTTATCAGCATTGTAATTGAAAGGCTTAAGACTGCTCAAGCCAAATAAAAAACAGGGTATTATTAGTAATTATGGTTGCTAACTGTCATGGGATGGATGTTGGCACCCCAAGAAGATTATATGAACCTAATAATAACATACAAGTTCTATGCTTTTACTGTAAAACTACAACATAATCCAATGTCAAACCACATATTACTGCATTTTCACTTTAAAAAAAGTCACCCAATATCAAATAAAAAATTAAATCTCAAATGGCATTGCTGGAAGCAATACTTGTTACATGCAGGAAAATGCCTATTTATATATTTTTATTATGCAAGCCATTTTGATAATTTTTTTTTGTTAAAACATATGTGTAAAATTACCTAGGTTTTTTATCAACACATGAAAAATATAAATACAAATCACAACTGTCTTTTGATATTGCATCTGAGTACTTTTATTATGCTACTAATGAAAACATTGTAAAATACTCATTTCATTTAATTGTAAAGTTTGTTTTAAAAGCATCAAAATCAGTTGGTCATATACTCCGAGAAAGTGGAAAATTAACACATTTCTTCAAGATGAATGGTTTATGGTTGACATTTTAATCTGCTGACATCTACACTAATAAATACTTTTAATGACTATGTACTTTTGTGTACGAAAATATTAAATTTCATAAGCTTTTCATCTCAAATGATTAACATTTCATAGTTTCTTACAGTATACTAAAATATGTTTTCTTCCCATAGTAGTAAGCACTACAACAATATGCAAAAACTTTCAGAAAAAAAAACATACAAAGAAAAAGAAATAAAAGCAGCAACAATTTAAGTTTTATTCTTTAATAAATAAATACTTTACTTCAATAAAGAATAATAACAATATTATTTAAATTGAAGCACTATGTAACCAAATTGCTATTTTGTAA